TTCACCTGGCCAGGTTGGCAGTCACTTTGTGTTATCAGGGTGAGAGAGTGGCGTGAAGTTGGTATTATTGCTTGAAACAACACAGCAGAGATCCTTAATGGGCTCACCCACAGGCTTGGCCTTGGCTTCATTGTAGCCATCAAAGGGTCCTGCCTGCTCTGTCTCAGGCTGAAAGGTGCAACATTTAAGTTAATCCAGCCGCTTTTGGGTCTGGGGATCCAAGGGGTCTCCACGTTTCCTCCCCAATGTTGATGTTTTTGTTCGATGTATTCCAATACACTGTCAGTTGAGCCACATAAAACCAGGCACCTTTCAATAAATGTCTCATTTGGGTTTCATGAAGCTTGGGGTGTAATTGAAATCAAACAGCAAACAGGCTGGAAGGCTCTGCTATTCGCCCACCCAGTCTGAGGAGGGTGCTGCCTGACATGCTTCCTGAAGCACTGCCTTTAGATTTGTTTTCTGTTCCTCTTCTGGAAAAGAGCCTTGGATTTTTTTATTTTTTCTATTTTAAGTGCGGCTGGGACACGTGAAAATAATGTTCATGTCTCTTTCCTTGGTTATAAGTAAAATTGAGCCAGCAAAAGGAGAGCCCATTCCAAGTAGGAAATCACAGATTTGCTCCTCTGTAACTCTCTGGGCACTGAAAGACTAGTCTATTCCATGTGTGATAATAAACGTGTCTTTAGTTAATACCAAAGAACCATCAAGTAAGATTTCTTTATGCAGTCAGAAAAAAAAAATCATCCTTTACTGAAACAGTCCTTTTCATTATGTTTTTTTAAAAAAGTATTTCTAATATCTATTTATAAAATGTGATCTAAATTATGTCTACATTTTTCATGTTCCAAAAAATCCTGAGTCCCAGGACAGTTTTGTGGAGCCTGAATTTTTATTCTTTCTTTGTTTCTCCGCCTGTAAATGGGTTAAAGTTTGGGTGAAATAATGGTTATAATGGGCAGGGGAGGAGAGGTAAGCTGCAGTTTCTTGCCCCAGGAATCAGCACTCGTCCTGATCACACATACCGAGTACGCATATATTTAACAATTAGGTAGCGCTCGGAACGGACCCGCGACCTTTCGAGCGCTCGCCCTGGGGCTGGAATAAAATCAGCGCTTTCTGATGTGGCGCGGGGGACAGCTGGCCCGCGTTATTTGCGCCAGAGTGGGTCGGAACGATGCCTGTTGCCTGCGATGGCACTTTGCCACGCGCAGCGCTTCCCTGGCCGCCTCGAAAGTAATTTGAAGAAAGACCGAGGCCCGTTTTCTCGCTGCGACCAAGCGCAAAACTGCCATCTACCCTCGGCCACGCTATCTCCAAAAAATGGAGACTGGATCTCACCCCTACTTTTTCAGCAAGCATCCGGAAGCGCAAAGGTAAGGTGGGAGACCCAGCGAGCGGTTACCAGGGTCCCCTGGCCGCCGGCTACGTCGCCGCGCCACCCAGCCGCGCGGCCCCTTCCTTTCCATGCCCTCGCATCCCCCTCGTGGAATCTCCACTTTGAAAAGCATGAAATCTACAGAAAGCACCAAGGACTTGCAAAGTTCAATTCTCCAAGCGTTTCCTCAGTCAAAATGTAACAAAAGCCGGGGAAGTGGGAGCGGACGGTGGGTGATCGGAGCAGAGAGCCAAGTCACGCTCGCGAGGAAACGCAGGGAGCGCAGGGCTGGGCGCGCTCGGCGCCAGCTTTCCAGGGATCTGCTCCCGGAGATGCTCGGCCCAGGAACCACGAGGCCCTTGCCCCGACCCACACGTTTAACTGTCTCCCTCCCCCTGGCTGACCCTGAAAGCCTTCGAGCGCTCTCGGTTTTCATCACCGCGAAAAACTGGTAAAAACCCAGCAACGTCCGAGTGGCCTTCAGGCCAACGGCCTCGCTCTCTAACCCAGACGTGCCCATGTAGGCGCTGCTGTGGTTTGAACCCTGGGGGGCAGCTTCGAGCCGTTCAGCACGGCGTGAGACAGCTCAGCAAATCCCGTGGCCGCCTCATCTGTTGTGGGCGAAGAGTTTCCCGTGTGATCGTGTTCGGTTGGGTGGCCAGTCCCGACATCTCAGCCGGAAAATGCGCTCCCGGAGCGATTACAAGCAGCGTCTGTAATAGCTTGTTAACGGCGAATATTCAGGCTTCTCCTTATCAGCAAGGAAACGTGCCCCATCCCCCGAAACAACAAAACACCACGACGGCGCGACTCTTGACTGCGGAAACGCAGGGGAGGAACGGGCAGCTGGGGCAGAGGGGCGTCACTCGATATCGAACTGATTATTGCACTAATTATTCCACCTTCTGCGTTGCGCCGCGGAGGAGAGGCGCGGGGAGCCTCACCCGCGAGGCTGCTGGGGAACCTTTGTCTCGCGGTGTCGGGCCCAGCTGAAGATGGGGCGGGGGGACGACCGGGATTCAGGGAAACTGAGCGGTTTGGGCTTTAAATTGCGGGGAGGACGTGACTGCCTCCTGGAAGCAGGGTTTGGGCGCGGGCATGAGGGTGTGGCCGGTGTCCCACCCCACCCGGGCTTCTGGTTCATAAGCTGAGCGCTTCTGTCCTCACGGGTGGCAGCGTGCACCCGCGGTTCCAGAACCCCAAGAGCCCAGCGCGAGGTTCCTCCCAGAAATCCTTCCCGCTGAGAGAAAGGACAGGCCCAAAGAGAAGTGGCTCTTGTGGGCTGAAGGCCGGGGAGTCTTCCCCCATCGCGAGGAGCGTGTGCCTGAAGTTACAGCCCCTGGCGAGGAAAGAGAGTCCGCTTGGGCCTCTGTCCAGCTCGCCCCGATCCCCACCCTCTGGCACCCGGCCTCCCCGCGGGCCAACCAGCAGAGCCTTTCTCCCTCCCGGCCTCTAAAACCTGCTCCCGCCCGCGCACTTTTCTCTCCGGGCGCTGAGATGGCGTCTGTGCCAAGAATGGACCCCGCTTCGGAGACCCTAAGCCTTGCTCCCCTAAACTCCAGCGAAATACAGACACCAGAAATGATTCTCACAGCAGGACGGAGTCTCGGTGGGGGAAAAAAAACCAGACTGAAGGAAAAGAAAGTCGCAGTGGACTTGATCCAATTAGTATATGCCTAATTGAATTAGTGTCACCTCCATCAGCCAATAGGAGGGTCCCGGGGCTGTGGGGCTGCGACACCCCTCCCTAGCAGCATATATATAAAGCAGCCAATGACAGCCCGCAAGTTTCCAAGTGGTCAACTTGACCCACAGCCCGGCAGCCGAGAGGGGCAGGAGGGCTGGCGCTGGCGGGTGTGTGGGAGCGGAGATCCAAGTCCTCTGCTTCCTGGGCGTGAGCGTGGGCGGGGAGTGGGGGTCCGGAGAGGCTAGAAGGACGGCTAAGAAAACCAGAGCGCTCCTCGACCACGTCCACCTCCCGCCTTTCCAACCCAGTGCGCTTTCCTTACGGAAAGGACGCTGGGCGCAGCACGAGCGCGGGGGTGCCTTCGCTGCCCGCGCGTCGGCAGGTGGGTCGCCCTGGCACCGGAGGAAGGGGAAGTTACCTTCCCCACGGAAGAGGGCGCTGGCTCCCCCATCCTGCCTTTATAACAAGGCCGCGGGAGGAGAGGAAGCACTGCCGTCTGCGCTCGGTAAAGCATGCAGTTAGGGGAGCAGCTTTTGGTGAGCTCAGTGAACCTGCCTGGCACGCACTTCTACCCGCTGGAGAGCGCGCGAGGAGGCGGTGGCGCGACCGCCGGCCACCTCCCCGGCACGACACCCTCGCCTCAGAGGCTGGACTTAGACAAAGCGCCCAAGAAGTTCTCGGGCAGCCTCTCGTGCGAGGCAGGGAGCGGGGAACCCGCCGCCGCCAGCGCGGGGGCCCCCGCGGTCATGCTCAGTGACGCCGACGCCGGGGACGCCTTTGCCAGCACCGCGGCAGTGGCCAAGCCAGGGCCCCCGGACGGCCGCAAGGGCTCCCCCTGCGGGGAAGAGGAGCTCCCCTCAGCCGCCGCC